GGCCTCACTAAAACCAGCCAATGAGCAATCAGCTATTATAGTAGAAATCAGTGGGTCCAAATGCCATTGAATATTTAATGTGTTTTTTTTTTTTATTAAGTTCTGGGAAACTTTTGGTGGTATTTTTTTAAACATCGTATAATTATTGGTGGGGCCTATCAGGAGGGTTGGCCCACCCACTAAAGTTGTTGGTTGGGCTTAAAGTAGGCCCAAACTCTGCCACCGCCAGTGGAACAAGTGCTACAATTTTTTTAAATGCTTGTTATGGACTATGAAGGAAACTGAGCTATAATTCTTTATAACATTACTGCATCCAGTATTATTAGCGCTCGGAAATTTGTAACTTGATGATTGTGATGTTTACTCATAGCCACAATGGGTTCAATAACAATGGCAATACAAAAGCATGAAGCAAGGTTAAACTTGACATTTTTTTAAATGTCAGGTTGGTCAGGAAGATTTGAATAGCTTGGTGGTTAAGATATTTGCCTTCCTTGTAATCCCAAGGTCCTGGGTTCAATTCCTTTGACAGCAGGATTTTTTCTCAGGAATTAAACAACTCTACTCCCTAAATCTTATTTATTAAAAGCATAACTGTGCCTTGTAGGAAAACATTAGAAATCTAGTAAACAGGATATCCAGTATAAAGGAATAAGATAAAATTTAAAAAAAAAAAAAAAAAAACCCCAAAAGAATATTTTCCCCTAAATAAAGATTGACAAGTTCATATAATACTTGACTGCTGCCAAATTAAAATTATATTAAATTATTATAATTATTAGTGAGAAGGATCAGATTAAAATACAGTTTAACAATTTTCATCAACTGAATTAAGGCGGTAGTACATTTCAGCCAAAGCACACAAGATCTGAAATTTTAAGTACAAGATTTTTTGCCCTCTTCAAACAACTATGGTCAAAACCATAGAAAATGTAATGAAATGAGATAAGAACTAGCAACTGTACCTGTAGTACAGTATAACCTGATGTACACTGCAGTTCCTACAGTATTGTAGATGCAGAACATCTTATGACCACTCCTTGGGGACCAACCATGACGGATATCCTTGTGAACAGTAATAGCCAGCAGTCATTTTAGAATCCACTAGGTGTATTTTACAATATTTTCATCCCGACATTCTAATTAGGATGGAAAAACTGGCGTTTTTATACATACCTGTATAAACTATAGTTTCTGATTATTATAGTTGTGATACAATCCTTGCAATTAAATCTGTAAAAATTCAACAACTATCCTAAAATGTATACAGGCCAAGCACCATACTGTATACCAACAATATGGTAGCAAGCAGCACCAATATCTGGCCATGTATGCTGTATATTATTATGAGTATTTATAACTAAAACTTCAGGTAATAAAATGTTAACCTGGTACAATAGATGTACTCACTCTTGGTTCTATTTTGGATGATCCATTCTTTATATTTCATATGTTGTCCATATGTTATACGTTTTTTTTTTCATCCTATTTGTTGTGAATGAAATAGTGTATAAGGCATATTTCACACATCATTGACCATTCAGTAAGTAATAATTGATAAATTTCTTCTTTTTTTTTAAAGCAGTATATTAATTAATTTACATGTAGGCAACATTAGTTGTGATTTATTAGTGAGGGTACACTTCAAACCAAACCTAAACATAGGTAAATTTGGAAAACGGTTAGTAAAATATACAATTTGGTAAACAAACAATTCTGATTTAATAATAATATAATAATTGTCAATTTATATAACGCATAATGTAAAATACCTCTACATGCTTTACAACATGCAATGGGATAAATTATTAAAAGTTTCACCACCATTTACCTAATTTACAGTTTCACCATTTACCTAATTACTTAACATTTGACATAGATGAAGCAACATGGCCAATTGGTACTTGGATTAAAATTTTGGAGTGCATGTTTCCTCGGTTGAAGCGCATATTTCCAGTAGGCTAGCCAGTATAATGTCTATTCGTTTTACATCGCATTTTCAAGAAATGATTTAACAGTGAGGGCACACTTTAACCATAACCTTAATGATTGATACAGTAGACAAATTTCAGTAAATTTAGCTAGTAAAATAACACTTCGAAAAAAAAAAAACTTAATGTTATGTTACAGGGAGTACTAGAAATTCTAAATATTTACAGGCTAGAAATTATGGTTTACCTAATTATTTTTAACTTTAACATCAATATGAGCACAACAGGGTGCAAAAAGTAAAAGAACATTTCCTATTTAGAACCCTCCCAATACAAATTTTACACCAAATGTCCTAGAGCCTTTCCTCCAATTCTCATGTCTCTATCATACTGTAGGTGTAAATATATTAGCAGCCAATGGTTCATTTACATAATATTAATGGCAATGTCCACGAGAAAGAACCAGCGTGTGTTCGGACGAAAACGCGAAAAGGTTACATAGGATTCTTACCGGTACTGTAAGCGCGGGTGGTCTACCGGTTCGTGCAGAACTTGGCTTTTAAAAAAACCAATACCCTCGGATGTAAAACCCAAGGTATTATGCAAATGATGAGTTTCTATCAAGTTTCCCCTAGCATGGACCCTTGTGTAACTCAGCTGTGTCCCCCCACGCTTTAAGAAACGGACTTTGGCGTTGGTCCACAGCATTAATGTAGTTGTCTCAAAATCAAGTAATGAAATTATACAAATCAATGGTAATGTTGGTCGTCTATGAGTGGATACTTACCTGGATAAACCGACTAATTGCCTATTGTTTCTCACACGAGAAACACCCCTCGAAAAATAATAGAACAGACAACTCCGGGCGCCAAGCACAAGCGGCCCCACAACCATGCAACTTCCTCATTCTTTTTTGATCTTATGAAATAGAAGCACCTTGATTCAGGATTCGTAACTATTAAAGCTTGGAAGACTGATCATGTAGACCGGGGGAACCGGTTCCCGCAGTGGATGCGTGTGAGAAAGAATAGGCAATTAGTTTATCCAGGTAAGTATTCACAAAGTAGACTACCAAAGAAGCTACAACAATAATAAAGCATACATAGCAAACTCCTAATAAATCGCAGATGTACATTTTGGGCGTAGTTATAGTTTAAAAACAGAAAATAACTACCACTGTTAAACGAATAAGCAGTGGAGTCATGATCATGTATGCATGTGGTGGACGTATGTAACAAGGTAACAATCTGGATTCTAGGCTAGCCCTCAGTTGAAATAATTTATTTTATCCAACTTTTTTAGTTTTGTTTTTGGAAATAAACTGTAAAAGAAGCAGGAACCATGAATATTAAAACATATTTTACTTCTTGTGCATGTTAAAACAATCAAAGGGGATTAAGTGATTAAAAATACTCAATGCTGCAATTTGCGGCGTTGGACTACTAGCAGATATCAGCAGGCGGTCCACGTTTAACACCTGTTCGGGCTGGAACTAGTAATGGCCGTTTCAGGATTTATCCCGTGTTAGACTCTAACAAAAAACTCGGCCGAACGCACCCCTAGTCATAGTGGGATTACCAGTTAGTTATACAGTATTACTTTCATAGTGACCAATTCACATGCTAGCATACATTGTGTACGGTAGATTTACGTAAGCAGTTTTGTACTGTTGCTGTAGAAGTCTAAGGGTAGGTAATAATAGACATTTTAAGGGTGGGTGGGTCATAACATGGGTAAACTCTAAATAATAAGTGGATTTTAAGAATGGGCAAGGGGGGGTTAATAAAGGTGGGTGGAGGGCCATGAAATTAGCTTTAGACTGGGTAGAAAACTTCAATGCTGGATGGTCCCACCCAACATACCTACATCCTTGCTAAGTGATCATTCATAACCTATGAAAGGACTGCAGCTTATTCACAAGCCAGCAATATTCGCTACATTAATCCTTGGCCTAATTATGGTATGAAATTATAAATAAATAATTACAAAATAACTGAATGTAAACTTTTAATCAGGCTGCTTTGTTTTAATATATGCAGCTTTGGATATAGGATTTTACAAATGGGGATGGCTAGGTAGTCGGCCAGGCCTACCTAAGGTGACGTTTATTTTATGTCAAAAGATTAGCATCAAGTTTCCATTTTTTAGGCTTTTTGAAAATAAAACAAAAGTTATTTTTTTTAAATTTCACTTGCAATTGGAATCAGGATCTGGATGAATACCTTTCACTCAACATGATTCCTAAAAAAGGAGCAAAGCAAGGTTGGAGTGAATAGGCCAAGACCTTGTGCAGAATCATAATTCTGCATGATATACATTTTTATAGATACATAGTCCACGGCCAATTGTTTTGCAGATTTTGAACAAAAACAGTCCTTTATTTTCAAAGGAATGGTTGATTTTGAGGTGCAGGAATACAGTTTTACCTGTACAGGCCCTACTTCAACAACCTTTTTCTTTTTTGAACTAAGAAAATCATTACTCTGAATTGATATGGTTCATAATTAATTAATTGAGGCCTAGGCTATTCAGATCCATGGTTAAGTATTGCATCTGATTTGGTCTTGTCTGACTTAACATGAGTTTAGCTAGACCTCTAGTTATGTAGGTAGGCCTAGGCCTAGATCACAAACGCAGGCTAGAGGAAGGACCTCCACCACCATCCTAGGCTAACTGAACAGTCGTAGCGTACCGTATTTTATGTTTCACGAAGTGCGAGGCCTAGGTAGGGGAAGGAGCCTCCCTGTCATTTTATAATATTTTATACAATTAATATGTTGATCATTTTGTCTGTCAGACGTTAGTGCCTGTACAAAAATGTCGGTATGTACTGAGTGCTACCATTGGATTCCTCAAATTCAATGGTTAAAAAATATTGTTTAGGTGCTGAATCAGACTGACATCAGACAAAACGTCTCGACAGTTACTAGAAATACTAGCCTATCGTATGTATGTGGGCTTGTCGACTTTCCCTCATTGTCGGTCACATAGCAGTTGCAGGCTAACCTAAAGGGAAACCAAAAACAGTCATCGGCCCAAAATCTAAATAAATAACAACTAATGCAATACCTCATCATTTGATACAATATCATCGTTGTGACCGTTCTCCAGTGGCATCATTGTTTCACTGATTGAAATCTGCGGATTTTGCAACGCCATATTTGTTGAGACTAAACATTGGTCATGTGATCAAATACAATTTTTTTAGTCATGCGTAGTACGTACAAAACGTGCTACCTTCAAATCCATAAAGGGCGCACTATGCTTTATTGCATGAATAAAACAATTTAGCTTCCTTCTTCTACGCAGTTGCAGACAGTATGAGCGAAATGTTGCAAATTGAACACATTCATCATCGTCAGCGCTTGGTGCAATACAATGTATTTAGATGTAGTTACATGTCATCATTGCAAACACGATGTTAGTGAGAATTCTCTGTTGGACACGTTTTGGAAGTGTGTTATAAAGACATGTGCGCAGCTCCAAAACAATTGGGTTTTGCGATGTGTTGATTGATAAAGGATTTACTTAACATAAGTCTTACGGATTAGCCGTTATTAGTCGCACGGATTGCCATCAAATTATATACATTCTACAGGCGTATATTAAATACATGAAGTCGTCTTCAAAATTATGTTAATATATAAATAAAAATTATATATAAGTTATTAAATGTCAGTTTCAGTTCAATTCTCTGTCTACCTACTTTGCTCTGATAGGACAATCGCACCATTTAAATAAATGCATATTAATTAGGATATATGGTAATTTGCAGCTAGTTGTATTGTAGTTTGTCTCTTTGTATTACCGGTGTGTTCCTGATGAGGCGAGAGGCTCTTTTTATACCTTGCTAGCGAACCCGCGACCGCAAACATTAATGATTTCAAATAAAAATAAAATTTTATTTTTGACCAATTAACGTACCCACCGCCACTAAAAAGTGTAAATTTATTTTTAGATGCCCTCTGCTGCCTTGAAATCTCCAAAGATAGGGTTCATTCCTAATTATATAAATTTGAAGTATTTAACCATTCTACATTCGCCAATAAATTTATTTTTTTTTCTCCTCCGTCTGGTTGTTGTTGGCAAAACTATTTGCTAAATAAGAAAACAAAATTTCATTTATATTTTTATTCCGCTCTCCTGCGATGATCTTTAAAAAAATTAAAAAAAAGTACCGGTACGCAAAATAAAGAATAAAAAAGTCTCGCATAATAATTTCACTGTTCCCTGATATAAGTAAAACAACCTGTTTTGTCCTTTATTGTTGCATGCAATTTGGGTATCCTATTTCCATATTTTTTTTTGTAAATATACTAATCTCATCAGCCTATTTTTATATCCAAATTTAAGTCTGAGAGTGCCATTTTCTGCCATCCAGAGATGCCATAATCATAAATTTTCTTACTCCAGCCCCCCCTCCCCAACTATGTTGTGGTATCTCCATTTGTGGGCCTATTTCGAATTACTGTTTGACCTCACCAATACTTCATGGATCCTGACCTATAAAGGCATGCTAAAACTACCTAGGACTAGGTAGGCAGTCGGACAGACTAACCTTAGAGCCTAATTATCTGTCAATTGAATAAAATTAAAAACATTGTTTTTGTTCGACCATTGTTTATTATAACTAGGGACTAAATTCTAAGCCATTTGATTCAGCAAGGATTGTTAGAGGAATGATTTTCAAAACATAATCAACTTGCACCGTTATTTGGAAATTATATATAGGCCTACTATAGGTAAAACGTACTTTTCTAACAAAAATGACCATTTTCTCCAATGGTTAAGGTGGAAAAATGCAACTTAGAGGACCAAATGGGACAAACCTTTCCATATGACAAACAATTAGATGCTGCAGGGGCGGATCCAGGATTTGAAGTAAGGAGTTCCAATTTTTCTAAAAAGTTCCCAAAAGAAGGGGTCAGGTGGTCCACCCGGGGAAAATTTTGATTCGTAGATTGCGGGAAATGAGCTTTCTCGACTTCTGAGGCGGTCTTTCAAACTTTTTATTCCTTTCCCCTCTTCAAAGAGGTGATTGTGATTTTATCTCTTACACAGTAAGTAGGCCTATATGTGATAGGCTATAGGCCTATAGAGAAAAAGAAAATAGACAAAATATTATTTTATTTCAAAGATCCCAATAAAGAGACCTTATGCAAAAAATTTTTTTTTTAAATAGCTAATTTATTGTTTTTACCGGATTCGGCCGTTTTATGACACCTCCTATCACTGTTTTGAAGGAAATTACAAGAAATTCGCTGTTTTTGGCGGTTTCAAGCTTAATTCTCTCACTCTAAATAACTCGCGAAAAGTTTTATTGTTTGAAATGATGCAAATGGATTCTTGGAGCGAATTTTACCAGCTTGAGACTGATATAAAACTTAATATGATTACTTCAGTAGTTTTACCGGACAAAAGCAAAATGCAAAGTCCTTCCAAAAGAAATTTGGCTTTCTAGGTTGCTAAAATGACGTCATTTGTGACCGTTCCATATGTCCATAGGCAACATAGTAACCTACCAAATCTGTAGTATGTGTCAGGTTTCTCATACTCTTCATACGTATTCTGATTATGATATAAATACCAAGCATATATTTGTTAGTGAAAGTTTAATAGAATGACATTTATTTACTGAGTAATGATCCGTTTTGTTACTACAAAATCCCTCACATGACAATGGAACAACCCAATCAACACAGCGTGGTCATTTGATTTCGTTCAGCTAATGAAGCGAATATATATATATACTGTCTCTTATACA